TCTTTAGCAATAGTGCGAATATCATTGAAGCAAGTTGTGCGGTTGTCCTTCAGTTTATAAACTCAATATTGATTCAAAGGTTCATTATGTGCTTTTTATTGTTGGGGTTCATCATGAGACTTTCCTAGATATAGATCTGACTTAAAGCTGGGGTACCTAACTTTCAAATCGCAAGAAATGGAACTATGTAAAACAAGTAACTCACTCTGCTCTCAAAACATCTTGCCTAAGGACACATTAAGTTCGGCACTTTACAGCCGCCCACCTGATGGGCTCCCCTCACAGTACTAACCAAGCCCTGCCCTGCTTAGCTTCGGAGGTCTATCATTCACCTACAGGTGGCACCACACTTTTTTTTCTGTTACAACTCTTTCCATTGGAACAAACAAAATATGTTTTGTAAGAAAAGAAAGGTTAAGTCTGTATGTTTTTCTTAGTCCTGGTTGAACTGGTTTGTAGCAAAGAAGGTTTTTACACTTTTTTTTCCCAAAACAACAAGTAAATTGCGTTTCCTGCCTCTCCACAGATCACACCTGTAACCAGCCTAAAACCCTCAGCTGTGTGTCTCTGTGGCACAATGTAAGAAACAGGGATTGACTGATATCTTTTTTTCAGATACCGATACTGACAGTCTGAGGCCGACTAGCAACATATAGAGCAGATATACATTTATGACCCCTATTGTAAATATGTCCTCATCCCATACATTTCTCCAGTAATATTAACGGCTTATTAACCGAGCAAGCGAGGTTAATAAATGTTTTATTATATGACTCTCTTCTGTGTCTTTACCAATGCTTTTGAGATATTTGTGAAGTATGTTCATGTCCGACTTGGTTTTCCTTATCGTGTTTTTAGTCTGGTACGCGATTGTGATACATGACCGATTGTCATGGTAACGGTCCGAGGAAAGATATCAAATGTGATACACGCTGCGGACCAATTGTCATGGTAACGGTCCGAGATGGGAAAATATCAGACCGCAAATCAGCCAATCAGAGCGCGCCTACGGTCCAAGTCATATAATAACAGTTATTACAATCCACCTGACAAGTGTGGGCAGAAGTACAGTATTTGTGGGAAAGACATAAAAGACACACAGCTGTTTGAACGCTAACGCAGGGGGCCGCCGCGGGCTCGGGGTCCCACAGAGGTTGCTTATTTTACACAAACGTTAAATGGACCCAAGTACACGCTTCTCCAGACTTAACAAGCGCTCAACTATTTTAACTACTGCTTTGGATACAGTCGAGCAGAGAGACAGAAGTACATAGGGCTTATAATTGGAGGTTTTCTGACAACTACCATGACATATGCACTTGTAATGTGTGTTTTATCAACAAGATTTACCATCTCTAGTCCTGGAACATAAATTGCGTTTTGAAATGGATTATTCCACATTGTTTAATCAACCATCTTCAAATTAACACACAGACAGCAAACATGGAGGAATATTTACATCTGGTTTGCATTTGGATTCAGTACAGAACGATAGACTGTCCATTATCAAACAGGGGTTTTAGGTGATTTGGATTAAAGTCGACATCACTAATAAACCATAATGGTATCTCCCAGTCCTATATCACAGACACAGGTCCAACATCCTTTTAACAAGATAAAGGAGTCATTATACGTCTTAATTCTTAAATTCTAAGCTATTGTGTAAAACAAATTGAATGTTTTTTAGTATAGCCCTAAATCCCAACAGACACCGCCTTGGAGGACTTTACACAGTTGTCAATTCACCAACAGCAGATCAGAGAATCAAACTGGGATCATGTGTGACATACCCGACCTCACTGGCCAGTGGCTGAGTGGTTAGCGGCCTGTGTCTGCATCATGGATCTATAATATCAATATCATCTGGATAGGGCATTACCAGTTTGGAGCTAAAGTACCCACGTGCTCAGGGGATTCCTGAGGTACTGCAGACTAAACAAGACTAAATTCGTCTTAAATCCTTCGGTTTTGCTTTAATCCACACTTTTATGCAACAAACTGCTCAATTGTCCTCCGCTCTAACTCCGCTAATCTTTTGGTGCCCGTGGTGACACATCTGCCACTGAGCACAAGCTATTCATTTGAATAGAGTGCCAACTAAAGTATTTATCTATCTGGGATCACCGAGGCTTGAGCTGCAGAGGTTTCCTAACCTGTTTCCACTACAACTAAAATCATATTTTTAAAAACTCATTCGAAACAGCTATTGATATTGATCGATGATAATTGCAGATGATAATCAGTTGACCCCTATAGTAAAGACTCTACTGACTAGAGCAGGGGTGTCCAAACTTTGAAGTAAGAGGGCGACGTTAGTTAAACCAGACTTGCCCAGGGGCCGATAAACCAGAGAGCAAAAACTACTGATTCCATTCATTAAAAATAGGTATGACATGTTCATATTGATTCACATTTGACAGAGCTGAAGTTGGCTGAATGAAAATTGTTTACTATTTCACATTAGCTCCATAAATGAAAGTTTGTGACATTATCAAAAACAAATGTCAGTACATACAAAACCTTTCCAACGAGGCATAGCATGTATATGTTGTTAGAGCTGGAGTTTGGACGTTTGGACGAGAGGCTGAGTCGAGCTGGTGTCTGATTAACCTTCTCCTCTCAGAATCAGACTTCCAGTGTGCGTCATGTGACCGAGCGTAACAGTCTATGCCCGTGACACAGAATAAATACATTTTTAATCCACATTTATAGATACAGCACACAGTATAGCGGCTGCTTCACCTCGCTGTGGCCACGGTGGAAGCATTCTGCAAATGCCAAGCAGGGGACGTGGTGGAGGGGGCAAGGCGGGCTATAACACTGCACACGTGGGTGAATGTAGTGGGCATTAAGACAACCACGGGTGACGCAGGGTTTGTCCTTAAAGCTAAAAAAAAAATGCTTTCATCGTTGCTAAACACTGGAGCGGAAACACTTGAGGCCGTTAACCATTATTTACTCTCCTACTACATGGAACCAGGCCATGACTAAACCCTTTGCTCTTTAGCGGATGTATCCAGAACTCCTCTAAATCCTCAGCAACAACAATTAGCCAATTTAAAGCTCAAATAACCATGTGTGAGCTCTCTGGTTTCATTCCAGCTGACGGCCATGTTCTTGTTCGTCCACAAACTGCTTCCTGCCTGGGCTCTCGTTAGACATGTTACGCAGCATGTTTCTGAAGGGACAGGGTTTTAAACAGGCTCATTACGAAACACTTTCCTCTCCGGGCTCTTCTTTCCTGCTTCATCTACCGCACGACAGCACAATAAGTCTGGTACAACCAATAGCAGCGTCCGCGGCCCATCACTCACCTGTGTGTATTTATGAGGGCTGTCGTTGAAGGTGGAAGAACATATGAGGAGCCATAAATCAAAGTGAAGAAGAAGCCTGAGCGTGTGGCGAGTAGAGGCCGCAGAGCTGTGTCCATGTGGTTTTACCTGCTGTCTGAAGGTTGTGCAACTGAGCCTTGCAATGATCAACTACTCTCAAGTATGTGAAGCACGGACCCAAAGGACTGTTGGACAAATGAGGATGTATTACTACTGCTACTCTTTTGAACACACTGGAAACGGCAGTAAGTCCTAAGCAGCTCTAAAACAGTTGTTGTTTTGTGCTTTAAGATCGCTATTTTTCTTGCTTTTTTCAGCTGTAAATGTTACTGCAGTACAGAATTCATGGTTTTACACTGATCCAGACCAGAGCACAGAAGATCCACGGTCCTAACCAAGCTGATCAAGCAAGAGTCCACTTGAAGAATGCATTTTTTTTTTTTTTATGCTAATAAAGAATTCAGAATTTCACTCTGAACCAGAGCAGGGAAATGGCTCAAACCAAGCATACACTGCGTACATCAACCAGAGGAACGGAAGCCGCTCATCACCAGCGGATACACCACAAAACAAAATAATTTAAAGAATGACGCTTTTAACTCCATCTAAATATTTTCACTATCTCCTACTCCACTGAAACTGAAAGTCACTGAATTAGTATCAGTAGTTATATAATAGTGGCAACTTTGCATGAATTAACACCTGCTCACATTAAGGATTGTGTGCTGTTTCCAGAGTACTGTGACAATAGGCACTTATTGTAAGAAAATGGAGTACATTAAAAACACAGTATATTCGATGGGATTATCAAACCAAGTCTGACGTCTGACGAGTTTTGGTCCTGTTTTCATGCAGAGAAGCTAACCCACAACTGCGGACGCTTTCAAGGACTATTGTAACTTTCCCTTTTTACTCAAGCTTTGTCACTGTAGTCGTAAATACAAATGCTATCATACATATATTAAAAGCACACAGTTGGCAAATGTCATCACCACACATAATGTTCACTTTGGCAGCAGGACCAGGGAAACAGGAAAGGGTCTTCCATGATGTGATCCACATGAATACACCTGATATGGCGTGTGATCTAAGCACAGACTCTGTAGGAGCTGCTCATGAGGCCTTCTCTCATGTTATTCATGATCCCACAACAGGAGGTTCTTCACCTGTTCTCGCTGTTATCTCATCTGCTCCACATTATGGGAAGTTCACACTGTCTGACCTGCAGCGATTATCAGACTACTTATGTAATGCCTAAATGATCCATGGTAAAAATCAACCAACCCCTGAAATGTAATTGTCGGTTTACATTTCTTCCCTCACAGACGCCATGAGCTCACACCTCTGTCAAACCAACAGTAAGAACAAGCTCCAGTGCAACTCACTCACGTCTGTGGAAGTCGGAACAATGCTCTGAATAATCGTAGTGAATTTCAACACACTTAATGATCCACTAAGTAAAACGTTTTGTCCAGATTTCAACATTTCTGAAAAAAAGTCTGTAAAAACAAACAGATTCGGGCTGATCCTCACATGAACACACACCAAAAACCACAGAGCCCTCGATGGCTAATTTCACATTCAAACACTTTCCCAGGTCAAACGAACCTTCATCCTGCAGCTTCAATCCTAACTATCCAGCGTGGATCAAACCAGAGAGACTTGTACCTGTGGCCTTCTCTGGGTTGTTGCACATGAAGCAGAGCCATCCTCGGTGCTCCTCGCTCGGCCCGAACAGGTCAAAGAAGCGCACCTCCTCCAGCTGAGTCTGCAGACTGTGGAAGTCCTGAGGAGAGAGCAACATCACTGTCTGCTTTTGGTCTTGTAACAGTAATGCATCAGTCAAGGAACTCAACATTGAAGATAAATGTAAATGTAGAGACTGCATCTAATAACCCATAATGGTATCGCCCAGCCCTATGTCACAGTGACAGATCTAACATCCATTTAACAAGATAAAGGCATTTATTAAGACATTAGTTGTGTTAATTCCTAATATAAACTAGTTATTCTCATTTCCTGTGGTTTCCGTGTATCATTTATCATATCTGCTGTTCTGGTGTTAGTGTGTATTCAAACACATGCAGGTTCATATTCCTCACATTATTATAAGATTAATAATCTGCAGTATTTTGTTCACAAGTCATATGACAAAATGAAACCCGAGTTTCTCCATCATGAAATAATCACTATTTGAGTTCAAGCAAAGTCTAAATGTTGTTGTAATCATGGTTCATTATTTGTAATCAGTGAGAAACGTTTAGTCATTATATTCATGAGGTTATAAAAATACATGAACTTCAGCGACATGTCAGACGCGTTAAATAAGACTTATAGTGCTTTATTTTTGGCCATTGAAAATGTAATAAGATATAATCAGACTATTTACATTTCAGGTTTTAGAATGTGAAATAAGATTTTTAACAAGAAATATATAGTGACATCTGTTGATATCCCATTTACATTTAAACACTCTAAATGAAATGATTAGTCGCTGATGCAGTGTTAGGAGGGGACTGACCGAGTGCGACATCAGTGTGACGCGTATCATCTTGTCCAGTGTCCAGAACCGGGAGGACGCCACTGAGCACAAGTCATTGATATGAATAGGCCGCCATCTTGGATCACCGGGGCTTAGAGCATACATGTTGCTAATGTAGTGAGCTGGTGTGAGCTCTTTATTGAACAGTAGAGGGCGCAGTATAAAAGCGCGTCACTTGTGCTACCTTGCCTCTCCTCTATCCAACGTCACACCTGCTGCACGGGGCTCTGAGCGAGGCAGGCGAGAGTTGGGAAGTTGCTTTGGCTCGTGTCAAGCTGGCGGCTGAGGCTTAAGAACAGCAACTGGGTGGTGCCCAACTTTGATGCGCCGCTGCATTGAGCGCGTTGGCCTGGCTACCGCAGAGCTGAGCATGGTCAGAGGCTCGGGGTCTCGGTATGGTGCGGGGAGCGCTACACTTTGTTTTACGGGTGCTGACGGCGTGCCCGCCTCCCCTTCTTGTTTGGACAAAAACTACAGATGAGTCAATGTACCTGCTTTTTAAAGAAAATGATGCAGCTTAAACAATGGACAATGACCGATAGACTGTGGTCAGTGCGCAGACGTGCGCCCTGCGGAATCAAGAAATCTGACCAAGGACTAATACAGGACATATTTATTTGAACAAATGTTGCACTATTAAACATGTAACATCTATCGTTGAACTTCTGCCTCTGTCCAGTCAATTGAAGCTTCCCTGTGTGCCTCAGATCAGAGAACAAATTAGGAACATTTTTGGTATTACATGCCTTGGCGTTGCTGGTTAGAATTCCGCTCCGTAATGCCACACTAAGATGGATGCTAAATCAAGCTGGAGTTTCCCCCGTGAATGAAGGCATCTGATTGGTCAATGCTTACATGACTCCAATCTGGATTTATTTTTCTTAATTTTTATCTACCTTTTTCCAACCTGATTTTTGTGCAGTACAGTGTTCATGGTTTTGCACTGGTCCAGACCGGAGAGGAGAGGATTCATGGTCTAAAACTAGCGGATCAGCCACAAATCTACTGGAGGAATGCAAACTTTTTAAAAACCACTAAAAAAGCATTCAGCATCTCACTTTGGACTAGAGCAGAGAAAATGATCCGAACCAAGTGAGTGATCAATAAAGTATGTATCTATCAATCTAAATACAAAATCAATATATAAACCCCAGGATCATGGAGAGCTCTACCCAACAGATACAATCTATTATCACTGAATATAAATATCTCAATTTGGGTCACGCATACACAATACTGGGTCACAGATACACAATACTACACAACCAAATCCGACTACAATCCTTCTGTATGTTCACAGTCCACAGTTGAAATACTTTGGTCTTATCCCGCATCACTGCAGTTTACCGCGACTTTGATCTCCTGCTGCCAGATCCCTGTGCCACTGACAAAGATCTTTTTAAGAACAAAATAACATTTCACCAGCGTTGGGACGGAATGAAAATAATCCCATGAGGGTTGTTCCCGCAGGTGTTTGCATTGGGATTGTATAAACAAATAGAAGTACAGCGTTAATACGTTTAAAAAAAGGTTCTAAAAAACAGTGTATGAAGTAAATGGATCCAAAATTGTAAACCTGATCCCACAATTTAAAATCATGTTTTCTCTTCTCGTTTCTCACACATTATGTTCCCGTTGTTCCTGAGCTCAGGCTGTAAACAAACTCGTTCATAAAGTATATTGAAACATTTAAAATCCTGTTTTTTTTAATTGTATATATTCATTTATACACAATACTTGCTGGATTATCAAGCACAATTGTATATAATCCTCACTAGCTAAATTTGAAAAGAAAGTTAATTTTGTCCACATAAAGGCCGCAACTGTTTTAACTGGTCATGATGTAATGACAAGGTCTTTTAATGCACTGTTGACTGGTTACGGACAAAGGTAAAGGTCAATAAAACAAGGATCTCAGAGAATGATCCGGGAATGACCAGTGAGAGACCAGTGAGAGACCAGTGAGAGACCAGTGAGAGACCGGTGAGAGACCAGTGAGAGACCAGTGAGAGACCAGTGAATGACTGGAGGGTGACAAGGGAATGACCAGTGAGAGACCAGTGAGAGACCAGTGAGAGACCGGTGAGAGACCAGTGAGAGACCAGTGAGAGACCAGTGAGAGACCGGTGAGAGACCAGTGAGAGACCAGTGAGAGACCAGTGAGAGACCAGTGAGAGACCAGTGAATGACTGGAGGGTGACAAGGGAATGACCAGTGAGAGACCAGTGAGAGACCGGTGAGAGACCGGTGAGAGACCGGTGAGAGACCGGTGAGAGACCGGTGAGAGACCGGTGAGAGACCGGTGAGAGACCGGTGAGAGACCGGTGAGAGACCAGTGAGAGACCGGTGAGAGACCAGTGAGAGACCAGTGAGAAACCAGTGAGAGACCGGTGAGAGACCGGTGAGAGACCGGTGAGAGACCAGTGAGAGACCAGTGAGAGACCGGTGAGAGACCAGTGAGAGACCAGTGAGAGACCGGTGAGAGACCGGTCAGAGACCGCAGCAGAAGAGGCATGCTCAGGTTTGGCTGAAACAGTAGAAGTGCATTCACTCAGCTCTATTCATCAGGGCTTTCTGCATGTTGTCAGCAGTGAAATAATGGAGGTGAGAGGTGTACGCCTGAGGACAGAGCCAAACAAGGACCATGTGTGTGTGTGTGTGTGTGTGTGTGTGTGTGTGTAATCTTTACTTATATAGCGCCTTTCACAGACGAGAGCGCTTTACAATTGTATGGGCCTTTTTCTCTCAATCCACACAGAGATGGGAACGAGGGATTCTCCTGTGGACTCTCAGATCAGTGAGGGGCTGAGGCTCTGTGAATTGGGTGCAGCTCCGACAGCCACCCACTGGATTAAGGGGAAGAATATGGATGGAGCTGAAGTTGGCTGAATGACAAATTACAATGTCATTAATGTCATGTCAATGTAATGAAATTTTGTGACACAATCTAAATGTCAGTATATACACAACGTGTATAATGTCATCATAGGCTGGATTCCAGAGGTTCTGAGCTTTACAACGAGGTACTGCATGTCTATGTTGACTGAGCTGAAGTTGGCTGGATGACATTGAGACACTGAGTATGTGTTTCTGATCTCAGAGAATACTTTGTGTTAGCGGCACAGGGCCACATATGAAACAGAGGAACATTTGGACATCTCTGTCTGGAGCATAGACTGTAAATACAGTATAAAGGGACGTAATGACACCTATCTCCGCCGTTCAAACTATGTGCCACCACTTTTGCCTTCTGTGGGGCTTTTTCGAAATGGGGGCGGGGTAAGAAAATGAATTGCGCATGTGTTAGCCGGCCCGAGCCCCATTCATTTAACAAGTGCATTCTGAAGTCCACAGCGGCTGAACTAGACTGGTCTAAAAAACAATACTCCATTGACAAACATCTGGAACATAGCGTTGGGCCCAGAGCCAACTTTTGGATCATCCTGTGAAGCCGTTTTAGAGAATTAGACGCCCTAAAAAAGCATTGGATGATTCCTATTCCTGGTACACCCCCATCGGTAATGAGTGAGATTGCAAGCATGTCAGCGCATGTGCTCATGGAGCGTGGACCCGCCCCCACTGGTCTGGGGGCAGTGGTCGCCATGGCGCCCAGTCTCTATCCAGCTCACATGGAAGACGTCTCTCTTACTCAGTCCCTTCTGGTTGCAAACTGTTTTCTTCAATCCTTTTATCGACAATGAAGGCCACACATGTTACCATTCAGTAAATATTGTGCTGAATACACTCTCATAATGAACCACAAACAAAATGAGTACAAAAAGACACATGTCCGAGTTATTTAGAAGGAAATTATGTTTTGTAAGTGCCCTGCAGTGACCCTGGTTTCTCTGGGTCGGACTGGTGTCACTGTTTGGAGATCTTAATCTGAACAAGATGAAGCAGCTGAGAGCAACACTCGCCGGAGGCCGCAAACCTCTCACTTCCAGTTTGAATATTTTCCTAATAATTTTCAAGTATTTGCATTTGTTTATCTTGAAAAAAATACATCCCACATGTCACAGACTGGAGTGTTGTTATTCCCAAGAAGACGGATCAAGACTTTTTTTTTTTATTGGTGGAGCGTAACTTTACTGGGAACACCACCTGCTGTTGCTCTGACGGGACCATAAAAAACACTCCCAGTTTATACGCGGGGGCAGTATCCCGTTCAACAGACAGACGTGATGCTTTCAATGAAAACATTTGCTTCAGCACTCTAACCTTAGAACTGTTAATGTGAATGA